CGTCAAACCCTGTCGATGAATACTGTCTGGTGGATTGCCACCTTGATAAAGAGAATACAGCCTTTTCATTAATTTACAAAAAAAAAACCACAAAAAAAAACCCCACCCAAACCCCCAAACCAACCCAAAATCCCAAGGAAAAAACCACCCCAATTTTCAGGACTCGATTTCTTAGCAGAAGAGTACCTAGTAATACTAGTGATTCTCCTCCACCAAGTCTAAGGAATAGAAAATTTCAACCCAATTCGCCTCATTATCAGTAAACATTCACTATAAAATTAACAATTTTGCTGACTGTTGCACTCCTCTTTCTAGCATAACTAACATATAATACATTTCAGCATGTAAGATGCACTAATTTTAGGTAGGAAGAAATGTAACTGTCTAGATAGATCAAGATTGTGTGATTCTCACAGGCTGAAACATTGTGCATAGGAGGATGGGGTTTAATAACATTTTGTACTGATGTCATTAGCATAGTTACACTATATGCAACCTCTTAGGATACATCCATACAACTCACTGAAACAATGCATTCTCTTTCTCCAAATGCTTCATAACTTACAGAAAACTAAACCAGTGTGCAAGAAATTATGCAGTAGAAATCTGAAATGGCACTTGCTGACAGCCCACTGAATGATTAGCATCTCCATTTTCTGCTCCTGCCTATTAATTCTTAATCTCAAACAACTGGCTCTGGAAGCAGTTGGCTACCGTAATACTGCTGGGCCTGGAAGTTTTTCCTGGCTCCTTTCTGTTCAGTACCTGTCCATCTGCAGAGCTGCTCAGTTTTGACCATGTATACTCCCAGCTCCTACTTAAGCCCAGGTGAGCTTAAAGAATCAGTTGCAGATCTAAATCCCAAACCAACAAACAAGTATCTGGCCCCTCACATCCAGCTGCTGCAGGATGCAATTCCTCCATGTGTACTGGGGAGGTGGGAGATAACTAGGACTTCCCCTACGAGCACAGGAGTCATCTGCAAGACTAGAGAGTAATGCCTATTCCCCTCCAGAAGCAGAGGGTAGCATCATCCAGCTTACACTAGAGACTAGCTTTCCCCGAAAGGCCTGCATTTCCCAAATACATTTCAACCCTCAGGCTCAAGAAGGCCTAAATGAACCAAATTGTCCCACTTTCTTCATCAATATTTAGTTAACAAATTATTACAGAAAAAAATAGGTACAATTCAAGCTTTAAAAATAAATCAGAGCCAAATCCTTTCTTGCTGTCTGAAAAAAACAGCAATAGGTCTCTGTCCTCAGGAAATGACCCCCTACTTTGGAAGCCAAGGGCATGCACACAGGCTGGAGGCTGGCAGGATTTGAGTCCATGATTGCATTTCCCACTGAAAAAGTGCATGTCCCCTGATTGGCACCCAGCTGTCTTGGATTCTGTGCTAAAGCACCTCTCTGCACGCACTGCCAGCGAGCCAAAACTCAGCACTGAGGATTCCAGGATCAAGCATCTAAAATTTAAGGGTCGCAACACACACCTCAAGCCACCCAAATACCTTCTGAGATCCAATTTCAATCTGCCATGACAGCTGATAGCTACAGGGATTAAATAGTAGAAAGATAAAACATAATAATTTCTTTTATTTGTTTTATAAAGAAAACTTGTGTGTAATCTCATAAGAAATCATTTGCAACTCATGTCCAAGATACAGTTGAAATTCTTTTAGCATTAACAATGCACCATAAATGTCAGTATTCCCATAAAAGTATTCAGGTAACAAAATTTACTTTGTTGGCATTGTACAACAGGGAGACAATTAAAACCCTCCCCAAAGTTTTGGGTATTTGAAAAAATCCCACAGGCAGGTCAAGCACAAAGCAAGTCTTGCAAGCCTCTTTTCTGTTAGTAGTGAACACAATAAAAACCAGTACTTTTAAAGGTAACATTAATTTGAACACTTTTAACCCTTCATTTACAGATCTGTTGCATGCACCAATTCCTTAATAAACTCATACAGTACAAATGCAACTTGCATACACATACCTAGGTCCTTTGATTTCTCGATGTGAGTGACCCTAACAATCTGCCTAACCATGGAAAACAACATACTGGTTAATTCTACACGGGATGGAGTCATGCCTTGTCGCCATTGCCTGCCTGACTCTCAGCAGCTCAGAGAATGGCACGTATCTTTTTGCCTAGTTCCAGACAAGGTAACTGGTGCTATTAATGGAGAAAATTTACCCTTGAATTGGTTAAAAACAAACAATAATGATCATGAAAAAAACCAACAGAAAATCTTTCTAGGCATGTATTTCAATAGATAATAGAAATGGAATAAAATAGATCACAGTACAATCATGCTAGGTGACATTTAGGCTTCAATCAAAAAATATTTTTTTTAAAAACTTACTTGAGGACTAAGATTTTGGCTATTGAACTACAAGATTTTTTTCCCCCTCTAAACAGCCTAAGCTACCAATATCAAAATATATACTTATTATTCAATGTATCTATGGATATTAGGCTACTTTGGTCAACAACTCAGTAAGGTGTTTTGATCATTACACTACAAGACAGTTTGGATAATCCTCAAATTAGTAGGTTTCCAACATTTAGAATAATGTTCAAGTGAGTAGAATATGAAATGAATTGCTATCTTAAAGACAGTACATCCAAAGATCTATGATCTTCAAATGAAACGCCACTGCTTGACAGATTAACATATATCCCCTTTCTTTAGTTTGTAAACACATGTAACAATGTTTATGTATTAACTATATTAATAATAAGCTTTAGATTCTATAAACAGTACTTATTGAAGATTCATTCTTTCAATAAAATGCAGCTGACAGTCTCAACAACTTCTAACATTTAAGGTGAAGTATTTTTTTCCCCCTCAGTGTTCAAAGTACTCAGTACTTAGCATACAAATTTTAATTTTCCCAATCAATACCTTTATTTTCATGCTTCTTCTAGACAGAGATCATCTATCCATTCATTTCTTATAGGATAAACATGACCAAGCTGTTGAAAAAACACTTTCTTTCTCTTTTTTTCTTTTTTAATCAGAGATCCACGCTGCTCTCCCCACCCCTCAAATTCTGAATACCAAATAACTTAGAGTAAAAATACAAATTCTGTTTTGGAAGAAAACATACAAAATATACACCGTATAGTGTGTGCACCTAAATAACTTGATTGTCGAGTAGTGCAAGTTTCCACTTTGACATATACACTTTTTTTGTTTTAAGAGACAAGAGTTTGTTTCACTGATCTTTGCTGATCCCATTTCTTTCCACCTTTGGTAGTCGTTGTCCCTTTGTGTAAGCGTGGTACCAGAAGTGGAGAAACAAGACTAAAAACATAGTGCCATATAGCCAAATGATAAACATGAAAATTGGATACTGGTATGGACAATCATCCATGACGTAGATTTGTCCTATATGGCCTGTAATTATAATAAACTGGACCTGGAGGAAAAAGGCAAAGAAAAGAAACAATTTTTAAATAAATTACAAACTTACTACAGAAGTTTAAAAAGATTCAGCATAGCTTGCATACAGAAAAACAGAAAGCATGTTTGGGGGAGGCTTTTTAGTATGACAGAGATGCACCTTTAGAACCCCTCTCACGAAATGTTACCCCACTGAAAAACATTTTCACAGCGTAAAGAAGTAGTAGTCCTGGGACAAACTGAACTACAAGCAGCACTGAGAAACCCATACTAGGAGAATGGGAGTCTGCCCCAGCCAGTTCAGACAGGAAATAACAGTGTTTGACCTGTGAAAAATGGGAGGCTCCTTCAGAAAAATTAGCCAGAAGAACAGAAAGGAGCCCATTATAGGATTGGTGAACATGCATTCCCATCTTCCGCACACATGCGTGTGTGTGAGGAACATGACACAAAGGTCCGCAGGTCCCAAAAAAGAATTTAATGGAGGATTTAAAAATAAAAAATTTCCATGTGAACAAGTTAATAATCCACTGGTAGTGCCGCCAAGACAAAAAAACTTTAAGTAAGTTATAAATATTCAAGCTAAATTGTTCAGTTACACGTGGTTATATGAACTATTAACACCAGACCTGGTGCAAGCAGCCAGCCATGGTTGCTTCTCCCTGCTCCTTTCCCTCCTACATTATCATCCTCGCTCAGGCCAAACTAATTGCTTAACCAGAAGCTGAATTTTGAAAATTTGGCTATTAAAAAAGCCAGGCATGAAAAAGAACCCAGAGCAGTAACCTTTTCAAAGTGATCTAATGCTGATAAAACACTTAATGTAATTACTGCAACAGTGTTTTTTAATGCTCTGATTTAAAGAGGTAAATTCTCTAAATGCAGACATTTTCTATGAAAAAACACACATGAAATGCTAAAGAAATACTTCATTTTCCCTTTCCTCACTACTAGTCACATATGTATTCTGTACATTAATTATGTTTTCTTGGTGTAAAATTACATTCTAATCATTTTTGTACAAGCAATGAGTTTTGTAAATATAATTACCAAGTACTGCATAACTGAAAAGCTCATCTGTGATTATAGTGAATGCTGAAGTCAGCAGATTTAAATATATAACCGAGGGGACCTCACAACTTTTGTTATACTCAGTTGAAACATGAGTAAACCTTGCATCAACTGTAAGCAACACACATGAACATAACTAAAGTACAAATGTATTGCATTAAGTCTGTGTTAGCCACAATCAGCTTTCTGAGAGGTGATTACATCAAACAAAGTTACTCACAAGTTGTATAGTTGTCATGTATTTTTTCCACCACAAATATTTATGATAGGCTGGTCCCAAAGAACAGATTCCATAATAAGTGTACATGACAACATGGACAATGCAGTTCAGTAAAGCATGAAATGTTCCTAATCCACCTATAGAAAACCAAAACATTGTAGTATTATTCCATCAGGTATTTAAAAAGCCACCTCAGGTGCTAGTAGTTTAGCGTCAGGGTAGAAAAAACACTACAACAAACCCCACAGATTTTGATTAATCCTCAAGGTATTTAACCTGAATTGGGTTGACACTAATTCCAAGGGATCACATCAGTTTCCTTTCTCAGAAAAGGCTTATCTAAACATTTCCAAAACAGCAATAAAACCTAGCTGATCTAATTATCTGTAAAAGGTTTCGGTGGATTTTTTTTGTTCTTTGGGTTCTTTTTTTTATTATTTTTCATTAAAAAATATAGGTGATGGAGACACAAAATTTAGTAGAAACAGTGTTCCCCCTGTTGTACACCTCTTTTCTAGACATCATGTAAAGGTCATTTGCAAAGGTCTGGAGGATGAGTAATAATTCTCTCCTCAACACAGATTTCCAGATTCCCAGGAAACGAATCCGTTTCAGACAGTAAGTTTTTGCAATCATGACCTACGTGAAGGCCTCTCAAATCCAGGTGGTCCATCTCAAAACCATACCTACAATGAAAAGGAAATTTAAGGCCAAGTAGCCCCATTTGGGGCAAGCTCATGACTGAAACTGGTAAGATACAAACATTTCACAAAGCAAGTAAGGAAGTACTTCCTTTTCCATTGGATCAACTATGGAGTCAGATGATCCTGCTCAAAGTAATTTTATTTTAATAAGCCAAACAAATTATAGGTAAAAATGATCCAAGAAGTGGCAGACAGCAAAGTATTTTTAAAAGAAACATAAACATGAAAATACTGAGCAACAGGAAGAAAACAAGATAACATAAAACCAGGCATTTAGTGAGGAAAAAAAAGCACCAATTTTCCATTAAGAATCATTCAAGTTAAAAATGCGACTTATTTTGTGATTTTAGTAGCTCACACTAATCTTTCAGCTTGATAGATCACAACTCCTCCAGCTGTGATTGCAAACTTTCTTTGAAATTTAGCTCTATGTATTTTTAAAAATAATTTGAGTGTTCTTACAGTTCAAATGTACATACTTTTTTTGGCTTGCACAGCAAATATTCAAAAGAAAAAATAAATAGTTTAAAGCAGAGAAAAAAGAAACAGCAACCAATCAACATTACAAAAATATGCTCCAAAAACCAATGCCATACATAAGCACCATCTTACAATTTCCTGTTAATATCAGATCAGAGAGAAATCAGCACCTCCATTCAAACCCGTTGTTTTTTTTACCAACACGTTGAAAACTTGATCAATGCCACTATTTAGAAGGACACACAGTGATGAAACTGAATACAAGATAATCATCAGCAGGACTGAAATTCTTGGAAAAAAATTTAAGTTATCAAACAGAACAATATTTGGAAAGATTAGTATAAAGATAAGCAATAGAGTTGTAGGAATAAACACAGCTCTGCATGAATACAAGGGACTATTATTAGCAGAGGACAAAACGGTTCTTGCACACTTTGCTGAAAGTATTTGTCAAATTATCACATGGGAAATTTGAATCCCATGCAAAATCAGAAGCCTGTAGCTGGCATACTGATCTGATTGTCCAGATAAAAGGCAGAAAGTTAATCCCCTATAAATGGAAACTTTTCAAGGTTGAAGAGGAGGGACTGTTAATTCCTGGGTGGTGGTTTGGTTTTTTTTTTTTTTTGCAAATCTATAAACACATTGAACTGTATGCTGAGAAAACTATTCACAATTTCATCACTAACTTAAAATACCAGTTACTCAGCAACATTTGAGAAAGACATGATCAAGACACCAGCTTCCTAATAAGAAACTCAGCAAATACAGCAGAAGTATATCTTTTTATATGCTAGGAAAATCTGCACACTGGACATGTTCAAAAGATCCCATCTGCAAATCTTCTGGACTGCTTCCAGGTCTTATTTTTGTATCCATAAAACAGACACTAACAGATCAGATTTAATAAGCAGTGGTTCTCTTCATCAATTGTTCACTAATTTTCTGGGAGAAAAAAACATGCCAGACAGAGAACATGAGTGAAGAAACATGTACAAAACAAACCTATTTCTTGGTGGAAACTCCTAAAAAAAACTTCACACCCTCCTAGAGATAGACTACTAAATGACCGTGCATTTCTCCACTCTGTGCTTATCAGGCTATTCTCATGGCAAGCTGTATTTATTAGTGGTGCACACACAGACACACAGAGCAGGAAAGGAGAAAGTGAAGGTAAGCTAGAAGTGGACAAAGACTTTCAATTCAGTACAATTCAAGTAAGTTTCTGTAATAAGTAAGGTCCAAAAAAATATTTCTGTAGTTTTGTGAAAGCCAAAGTTTTAGATGTAAATAAACCCCAATTATGCTACCTAAAGCCAGTAAAATTAACTGCAACAAAGCCTGAATAATTTCTTAAATGGGCAAAAAAAATGAGAACACAGTCCTCCCCTCCAACTCCGTTCTTAAATTTCAGGGGGACAAATGGCTCTGAAGTAGTTTCAACAGTTGTCTGTCTTATATGTCTCCCCTAGTGCTTCTGGTTTTACAGGTGCATCTCTTTTTCATGTAATAATGCTCTTTGCTTATGTAGACCTCTCTCCTCTGCACCTTTTCCCCACCATGAGAAACCAACACTGCACAAAATGCTGTCAAATAGGAGAAATGAGTACTCCCCACCCATTTAAATAATTATGGTGATCTCAGAAATACTGCAGATACCTATATTTAAAAACTTTGATGTTTGCAAGATTTTTAATTCTGTTATTTAAATATCTTTGTCTAGCATAGTTAACTTTTACTACCAGAAGATATGTACACCTTAAACTCTCTCCCCACTACCTGCAGCAAATTTGACTCCAAACCACCAGGTCCATGGCATGATGGAATGATGAAAGACATGCAGGAATGTAACTTGGTTGTTTTTCTTACGCAGCACAAAAAATATCTGAAACAGATTTTTAATGAACAGAGTGTTACAGGACATAATCAAGCCAAACATACTTAGAGAAAACTGTATGCATCAGTCCTGGCTGCTCACTACTATACACTTAAAAATTCTTCACAGTTGCAGTCTTGGGAGAAGAAGAGAAACTGAGGCTCTGGATATGTGGACTGGTTTTCAAAAAAAAAATTTAAACCAGCAGGTAAAATCCACCTGTGGAGTCTCAAAAGCCAGCACAAGCTTTGAAAGCAAATGTCCAAGGTTGAGCCATCACCTATGTGTGCAACAGACAGCATAAGATGGACTTGCTTGGATTGAGAATTATCTAGAAGAATCAGATTTTAAGTCCCCTGAACTACTAAGGCAAGGCCATTTGAGAAAACTGGAGGACTAGCAACAGATAGAGACAGTAGGAAATATTAAGTTGGAGAAAGAGCACTTTATTATGAACACTAACTTAGCTACCCTTCGAAAAAGACAAAATTAGACAGAATATATGTAGGTATTCTTAATCAATATTGACAGGCCACATTTTAAAGGACAGACATCGAGGGAAGTGTTAAGGGAAGACAGAGCAAGAAAACTGTCTAAGGAGAAGTCAGGTCACACAAAGGGTAGTATCAGATGACAAGCAAAGGAATACAGAAGAAAAGAAGTCTGGTGTGCCAGGGAAAACATTTGGAAACAGCTGACTTAAACACAGGTAAGAAATTACTTTTGCAATAAAATCAAAAAGTTGTCGAGAAACAGGTACCTGACTGGGTGGGTTCAAACAAAACAAATTTTTAAAAAAAGAATTTTTCAGGTCCAGGACCAATTAAAAAGAAGCAGTCTAACCAGTGGGTAATAAAGGTAAATAGAGGACTAAACTTGTCAGGCTTTTCCAGTTTTAGCATTCCTGGCCCTTCCATTACCATTCCATTTGTCTCAGTCAGTAAGATCTTCCAGTGTTGAATCATGAGTATTTGCAGATGAAAGTTAGATGGCTAACTTTGCTGGCAGGGTGTAAGAACATCCTAACTGCTCATGAGTCAGCTCCTGAATCACCACTATTGTGGCCTACACAACAGCGCAAATGAAATCCCAGCTGATTCCAACACTCAGAAGCTGGCTTGAGAGTAGCTACACCAACCCTATTAGGTGTCGGTCTTGGGAAGAGGGGAAGGCAGATGGCTGCTGCTGGAGAGCGAGGTCTGCATTCTGCTTCATGCATTGCTGCTTAGACTTTCTTTGAAACAGGTTAGAGTGCTAACCTGATATCAAACACATCTATAGTCATGACCCCAAGGCATACACAGGAATTTAGAGCAGGTAGGCATGGCAGTTTATGCTGTATTCAGAGCTGCTGATGCAAATATTCCAAATATGGAAGATAAAATCTGAAGATGACATAGAAAAAAAATTCAGCATGATCAACACTGTTTTTTATCTGCAGTGTTGAGACAAACACTGCCATAGCACAACAGGTTAAAGTATTCAGCTGTTAAATAGACAGGTAATCTGGGCTTCCTAAATTTTTAGGGGTGTGTTCCCTCATTAATATTTCTCCTGATAATCAAGGAATGGCAGTGTAATAGGACAATAACATGAGAAGAGATAATAAGGGTAAAGACCATGATGGTATTCCAATAATTGAAGATCAGAAGGCTAAATAAAAAGCAATTTATGCCCCCAGCCCCCAACAGCACCAGCTCTTCTACTGTGAAAAGGAAACCTCACTACTACTTTTATTAGGCTACAAATACTTACAGTGTCTAACAGTTCAATGAACTTGGAAAAGTAGTAAAGCCAACAAGTTCGTACCATCTGCAAGAGTAAAAAACAGAAATTGTCAAATCATAATAGGCATAAATAAAACTAAGCAGCTGCAGGAAAAATAAGTAGCTATTATTGGGACAAGTAAGTGGTGTCACAACATTGACAGAAATATTTAAATGTATGGTTTGTTTGGGTTTTCTTTAAAAACACAAACCATTTTTTAATCCTGAAGGAATTTTAAAACCAAGAACAAGCCAGCAAATACATTGCTTCTTTCTTTCTCCCAAACAATCAACCCCTCCAGTTCACTCACATGCTCTACATTATGCAAGAGGGCATTTCCATTTAGTGCATTCCACTCTACAGCAGTGCATTTGGTTGTTCAAAAAGCATTTCTAAAAATAAAGTCAGCCTAGCATAACAATTCGGCTTTGTTTTTGGCAACTTACTCTTAGAGCTGTAGGTGACCTCGAGTAGTCAACGATATCGCACCGGAATGAGTACCCTGTGGCCCAACCCGACATAAGAAACTGGAGCAAGGAAAAGAAAAAGAGCAAAGATTTACTTTATGTCTTTTGAAAACTTCATTAATTTTGGATTACTTTCGCAATCACTAAGCAGGAGGGGAAAACAATATTAAAAACTTGTTGAATCAGCAACCTTGTCAATCATCTACCTCTGTGTGGGCTAGCTACCATAAAATCCTTTGCTGTTGCAGATTAATGAATTGCTAATTCCAGGACCACACCTATGGACAAGAACTTTCTTCCTACACCCATTATCTCATAATTAGTAACTGAAGACAAGAAACAGCTGCACCTCAAAAATCAATGTTAAAAAAGCAACTTATTGTGTAAATCAGACCACAAAAACAAATCAAACATTTTGAAATGTTTTGAAAATTGCTATTGCAGCCAACTGTCTTAATACTGAAAAGAAATCAGCACCATCTTAATACTGAAAGAAAACCAGCACAACTGAAAATATGGCTTAATATCATTAGAGACAAGGAACGAATCAGTATGCACTATATTTTTGGTATCATAGTTTCTAAAATTTTGCTTAGTTAAACTGCATGATTCAGTTAGTCTTTCACTGATAGAAACGATGAGAAGCTAGGGTTTTACAATTGAGAGCACACATGAATGACCAAAAGACTGTATGTAACAAGTATAATTTAATCTTTTCTCTTAGAATATATTAAAGCTTGGAGAAGAGCAACATTGTTAATACTACGCTTGGCTCATTCCCCTGCCAGCCACTAGGACTACTTTATCTTATATCTGTTTATAAAGTGCTTCTCATCCATTGGTTACCATTATCCACTCATGCACGATATGAGGTTCAGCTCTCTTAACAGATGGAGCGGTTTAGCCCATTTAACCTCCTAGAAGAATCAGTTGCTTAAATAAAACAAGATCTGAAACGCCACCAAGACAGCACAATACTAAAGCACCCACCAAATGGCTTGGATCCAAAGAAGGAAAGAATCAGCTTTTTTCTGAGTACCAGACAATAGCATAAATTCAATGTTACACACTAACCATGCATCCTTTCATGAAACTGTAACATGGAAGTCTTGACAGCAGATTAATTGAACACTGTGTTAGTGTCAGACACTAGCAGAAGTTTAATATATTTTTTTGCTTCTGAGGGTTATAACCAAAACCAAACTTGTCACCAGATCGCAAAAGAAAGTTTGGCGATTTTTCAAAACAAAGTCTAAATAGCAAATGTGTGTGTCTTGCCCACTGCTTTCCACGCAACAATCATGACACAAAATAGCTACTGTTGCACTGCCTTTAGAGTGCTGTTAAAAGAAATGTTGAGCAGTTCACTGTAACTCATGATGAAATTTATGCAGCTGAGCTAACAGGAGGGTATCCTGCCAATTTGGCACAATAATTTGACAACTTTTCATTACCAGTTTGCCAAACCTGAAAGAGCCAGATGTAACACAAAGAGCATCAGTACTAGCATAGTGGTGCGTCACCAAGCAAATGTGTAAGGCTATCTTTCACACAATACTATTGTTAAATAGCTACACTTTAAAAAAACAACCAAAAACACCCCCAACCAACCAAAAAAACCCACAAACCAAAAACCACAACAGACATTAGCTATCTTAAGGTTTAAGGTTCTAAATTAAAGCTTCTACATAACCATTCATGGTTAAGGATTTTTAGGTCATGCAACCCATAATGCTATATAATTCATCAGGCTTTCCAGTCCTAAAGTCTAACAATTGCTTGAGCTGTGAACTACAGCAAAATCTCAACATTCCTTTTGACAGAAAGAGCATTTGCTATTTTGGGGGTGGGGGAGGAAAATCAATGCTAAAGACTTTCATCCTTTGGGTTTTGGGGGGCTTGGGGATTTTGCTTGCTTGTTGGTTGGTTGTTTTTTTTTTAAAGGATGAAGATCACCAAATTAGATTTTGTTAACTTCTGTCATTTAAAAGGCAGATCTAACTGAAGATTATTCCATAGTAAACATACTCTACACAGTGTTTGAAACATCAGTGTTGACTGTCCTGCAGTAGGACAGAAACAATTACAACAGACTAAGAAAAACATGTAGTCTGCTTCACCTGCTACAGCCCAAGGAAAGTAAATAAGTTATATATAATTTACAAAATTAAAAATTCTCATAAGGACACAAAATATTTTACAATCTATCTTTCTAGGTATGACTTATTCCCTTTTTTCAAGTATCAGTTCAATTAGTTTAGCATACTGCTTGGAGGATTATAATTACAACAATTAGAGTAATAGGGTTTTTGAGAATTGCAGAGTGGGAATTATATGAATAAATTTATTAAAAGTTAGTATGAGGATAGTTAGAGACACAAAACATATAAATACTTTACAAATAAAAGTAGTACTTACTTCGTAAGTCATATATAAAGAGAGGGCTACCACACTAAAATTATAAAAGGCCATTATCTGCCTGAGTTCAAAAGGGTTTTTATTTTCCATGAGTTTGGGTCCCAATGAAGTTACAAAATAAATGTAGGTTCCAATGATAAAGGTTGTTGGAAAAGGTGAAGACATGAGTGGCCAGCCTTCCAGTCTTGGATCTAGAAGAGAGGAGGAAGGGGGGGAGGGGGGGGAAGAAATCAGATCTTTCCAGTATTTACTAAATCCTAAAACAGCTACAGAAAGGTTTAGGTTTTGCTGTCACTGATCATGTTTCAGAGTCCATTCACCTCAAATCCATACCAACTGGATAACAACATTTAGCACCTGCAGGATTCGATGCTTCTTTCTGCATCAATTCTTCACATGTAATGAAGAGGAGACACAGAATCATGAAAGATGCAATTTTTGGTCTAGAGCTCTCCTTCACGGAAAGTCTGCATTTTCACACATGAATGGGGCTCAGAGGGCAGCATAGGAAGGCAATGCCCAAGCAGATCGCTGAGGCTGCATTTCCACGTTAGACTTCATTCTTCTGGAAAAGCATGAACCTTATTTCACAAGTTCAAGTCGCAGACGGGAAGAAGCCCCTCTTTTCAAGATCCTCAAGCTTTATAAGCAGTACAATGTTAGACATACTAAGTATGGGGATTTTAAAGTTAGAGGACCTTCGCTCCCATCAGTTGGTATTCATAGCTTAGTACTCGAGGCTTGTACCTATTCAGTCCAGACACGTCACTACTTTCACAGCACCATAAAACACACACTTTCATATTACAAGCCTCCAAACAGAAAAAGTGTTGCAAGTTTCTCTCCAGTTGTCCCAGACAGAAGTATGGCAGAGAGTCCTTCTCCTACACACGCCCTGCTCCCTCTCCCCGCAGCTAAGGCTGGCAGGCGCTCCCTCTAAGCTTCACCATGATTCCACTGCATCCTTCTGTGGTTCATCACCTAGTTCTAGCTCACCAAAGACTTCCGCATTTCTCCATAAGCAGGAGAACTGATTTGAACTTAATTTTTTTTTTTTTTAAATATGGATTAAAACCCTACGAGTCATACTCACAAAACTCCCTTCTCACTTGCATGCTATGGTTCTACAGAACAAGAGAAATGGTTCTCGGCTACACTGGAAAAGATAAATCAGTAATTTTATTGATCAGACCTTAACTGTTTCTCAAGTTTTCCGCAGCAATCAGCTAATCCCTGTCACTATGTGACTACCACGGTGAGGGACTCTCAGGGATGCCACTGCGAGAGATGGTCCTTAACCCCAAACTTGAAATCTTCTCTGTCATTTTTTGGTAAGCATGCAGAATTACCAAACAACAATGTTAAAACAAAGTGTGTTTAATGTCCTCATACCAACTGCAACAAGAGACTAACTTTCCTTGTCAAAACAGAGCTGTCACAGAGTTAATTAATCTGAGGATTAATTTCAAGATACTGTAACTTGTCAGGGTTTTTATTTCTTTTACTTTGCAAAAGAAAAATACAGTAACACCATGCACCTAGCTCAATTAACTGATAAAATACCGTCATTCAATAATGAACAAGAGTTAAAGCTTTACATTTAGCAGCACGGGAAAAACTTAAACTATATATACAGGCAAGCCAGAAGCACCTACAGAAGAATCACTTCTGCGCTTTGTTAGTCTGAAGTTATACCCATAAACTAGCTGAGTTTTGCTTTTTTCCTTTTGTAGAATGCAGAAACTAGTCTGTTCTTTACAGTTAAAAATGTCCATAGGTAACCTGGCACATCTTAGAAATGTTTACAGGAAGACAAAGCTACTTTAAGTTGATAAACAGTACACCTAGAAGACCTACACATTGATATTCAAAATTATTGAAAGTTAGTAAGTTTTAGATTTAAATGACTCACCAGCATCTTTAATCCATTCATCATACAGTAGTACAGCCTTTGATGTGAGATTGCTAAAGGACATTTTCACTTGATTAAGATTTTATGATGCTGCCTGCAGGAAAACAAACCAAAACACAAATATGGATTTTTGTAATTAATAAAATAAAGGTCAGTAAAGCATTTTGCAAAAGATTTTCAGGAAACAGAATGGAAAAAAAAATACAGAGAGCACTACATGTGAAATACAGATCAGGGAGCATTAGCTGACCACATCGCACTATGCTTGGGGCTAATTTATAGCTGAGCTGTTATGCACAACAATATGATTTTGTAATCTCTATATACCAAACAAGGTGCTTCCATGCCATAAAGCGTTATCTCAAGAAACCATGCTGTAGTTAACTGTTACAGTTAAGGGGAAAATATAAATAAAGAGCGGCTGCTTAAATTAATTTTTATTACCATCTCCACTTAAAGTCCAAGTCACTGACATATGAAGAAGTTCAGCTTTGCAACAATTACTATTGAAAATTTTAATTTTCTAAGTAAGAAGTATTTCTAAGGCAGGTGGGAAGGAGGAAAGGTGCCAATATGTCTGCATACTCCCTTTAAATACAGTAATTAGCTATGTTATAATTAGTATGCAAATCACAATGATGAATCAACTGTTTCCACACTGGGATCATGAAGTGTCATAGTACCACTGGAAACACCATTCACTCACAGAACTTATCCAGCACATCCAGTTTGCATGCAGCACCACCTACACATGTAAAACTTTTTAGAGAAGTATGCTTACATGAATACTGATTTTTGCTCCAAAATCAAGTACTCATCAGCAGCCCTTCCCTTGCCTCATTCCCCCTAGAAAATACTTCTTAAAAATCCTAGCACATTTGAAGAGTGTCTCTCCTATTCCCACTCAGCGTCTCACTTTGCCATATGATTTCTCTCTGCACCCCTGCACAATCTTCACACCGTATTTACCTTTGCTAGTCCAGGCTGCAGCACACCTTGATAAGCAGCTCCTTTCCTCTGGCTGCCCTTCTGTGTCTCCTCCAGGCTAAGCTAGCTGCAGGTTTGGAGAGCTAGTTCTGCCCTCATGAAGGCAAAGCATCTCTCTCCTCAGATCTCCCCACTATCATCATCTTACTTGTCCTCACCTTAACACTCATGAAAAATAATTTCATCCTTATCTCCACAAGTACCTCCTGGTCACTGCCATTTCACAGGAGTTTTTAGGCACCTCAAAGTACACTACACCCACTCTTCATCACAAGATGCAACACAGACAAGCCTGCCTTCATTAGAGTTCATCTGATCTAGCTCTTCCCAATTCTCATTTTGCTACCCACTTGTTTTCCTGCTTGCACTTCTGTCCTGTGTGTCTGAACATCTGAAACTACCATCAATTTCGTGTTCAGAAAATATTCTCTCTGCAAGTCTCTTCAAAGTTCATATTTTCCAGAAATACCATCCTCCAGCATCAGCATTTCCCAACTCAATTTCACCGCCTTTATGCTGACCATTTTCACGTGTCCTGTGTTCATATTACAATGTTTGCTACAAAGCTCTATATTTATAAAGGTGCTGGCAAAATCAGAAGCAGCAGGGGACATCCTCTTCTAATGGAAACTTGAGTGGCCCTCTTCCTTTTGGCACTAGCAATCACATGAGAGAAAAGATTTTATGGTTAGAGACAAATTATAAATATCCCTGCCATCTTGCTCCATAAGCAAAACTATGGGTGATAACAAACATATGTAAACCCAACCCTGTCTTGAACACCAGGTACTTCAGACTGCCTGACTGTGACAGCCAGGCAACTCAGCTGTAAGTAACTGGTGCTGGGGGGAAGTGTTAAAAATCTGTGTTTTATAAATAATTATTAAATTAGTTAGATTGATTATACTAAGTTATCCTTAAAATCCAGTATTCTTCCCATTTCAGTCTCATGAGAACAGTCTATCGAGAGACAAGGCATGGCAAATAGACAGTATCTTGTTAGAAATTGTAACAATATTCTACCAAAGCCTACAGGCACCGTGTGCACAGTATGGCTCAGTATTTCAATAAATATATTCACCAAATGCAAATAAACATTATAGTTAATCAGTTCTTCAATAAGAAAGGTAGTTTACTGATTTCACTGCCAGTTAGTTTTCCTGCTCTCATCCTGATGAAGATATTACTAGAACTCAGACTGCCTAGCTCAACATGCTGACCAAAACCTTAGTTAAACAAGTAACCTACTGCTTCAAAACACGCTCTCAAAACTCCAGAAAATTCTGCGTGGATGCTGGCTCAAAATGAACTGCCATTTATTATGGGCTTGGGGGTGTTTATTGACTTTTCCTCCCTCTTACGAAGCAAATCTCTCATCCTGACAACTGCAACCTCACAAATAACCAATTCTTTACATTTATCCACTTGAGTTGTCGACATCACTTTAATTTTGCATTAGAAGACAGACAAATGTGCTGTTGGTGTTTAAACAGCAACTCTTATGCCTGCTAGGCATTGGGACCAAAAGCAAGGTTTTTATCTGGAACCAGACTATTTCCAATAGGTTACTTCTGCTCATAATAGAAAGGCAGCACATGAAAACAGCGAATCCTCATGTTTCCCAGCCCTTGCCATACTGATGGAGAAGCATTTGTCCAACCTCTCCTGACCCCAGTATTCACAACTCTTCTCCCTTTAAAACATTTCACAAGAGCTAAGACAGCAGAGGCTCTTAGCCTTCAAGGTTTCTTTTCTGTTCATAAGCAAGCAAGCAAGATACAACTCCACAGCAGTCGCTACACTTATTCTGAAAGTTTTTGCAGATTAGTTACCATCTTTGAGAGAAGGATGTGCCAGCCACAGCCTCACCACACAGACATACTGACTGATCAATTACTCTGAATCTGGAGATAAGCAAAGTACAATAGGTTAAAACTAGTTATTTTTAAGAGTAGGAGTAATGTCTGCAAGAAAGAACTCTTCTACAGTTAAAATATTTATTTAAAATTAACTTTCATATATAACACTACTACTTTACTTTCAGTGTGCTTTACAATTCTACCTATTTTCTTAACTAACCTGGTTTTCCTTTGTAAGTCCATTTCTATGAACAATTGTTTGCATTGATGTTAGGTTTTCAGGATTTTTTTGTTTGTTAACTACCTACAAAAGGGTTAATAGCAGCATGGAAGGTATTCTGTCTTATCCTGTCACATTTAGTTAACACAAATTCGTACATACTGGAAATAAAAAAAAACCCACATACCCACACACAAGATAAACAACCAGCCTGTGCTTCAGCAAAAAACCAAACCATTTTGAAAGACTGTTTTTTTACAGTACAACCATGTTGTTAAGAAGTAACCTGATAACGCTTTGACCATAATACAATCTTCGATAACATATGGCAGTTTTGAAGTCCACAGAACTTATCCTCTATATGTGAGACTGGAAATGTTTGGCCTGAAGGAACAAAGACTTGGGGGCAGAGAAGGCCATTTGTTAAATACACAGCTTTAGTTCTTCATGCTGTAAACTCATCTTCACATTAAGCATTTGTATAGCCACAGTTCAGTCAGGAAAATATACATGCAGTTTACAAACCTGCTAATGTACTTACAGAATCAGCATATCAGTACTTTTATTTCCAATGTTCCACTTTCTGCTTATAACAAAATTAAAAAACTCAACTAAAATGCACTAATGGTAGGAACTTTTTTTTTTTTAAATAGTGTCTAGATTGTAGTAAGCTCTCTCAAAATTAGGGAAGTGGCACTAGCAGACTCATTTTCAAAATCAGGTTATTTTAAATGACATATTGGAAGCAATTTATATAAACTTAAAAAAATGCAGTCATATAAGTTCAGTCTGCTCACCTTGAAAAGTTCTAAAGAACATAGAGGCAGTCCTATCAAGCACATGCATTTGGAAAATGAGCACTGAAATCACCTCAGAAACATATGCAAGATACTCAGGCCTTAGAAGAGCTATTTTTCTTTTTTTTTTTTTTTTCCTTTTTATTTAAAAATGTCAATGGAAGTAATATTGTGCACCTAGGTTCAACCCAGCTGTACTAATACAATTTCTGAAGACATCTTTAAACAAATATGTCTTCACCATTATAAAAATAGGTGTGTGAGGCAAAGGAGGGAAAGTGCTGTGTTGAAAGAACAAAGTCATTTGCTGGCCTCTGGTCCCCTGCAGCTCAGCAGACAGCCAAAAGAGTCCACTAACTCCAGCTGAGTTAAGGCATACAGCTTGGCAGAACCAATTTCAAGCTGGACCATTACCTTTACTGGAGAGGCAAGGGTAGATAAGATCATTTACACCAGCCAAAAATGCCACAAATACTACAGCAAACCATGTAAGAATGCCTCACAATGACAAATAGTAGGTAATAAATTGTTGGAAGATCTCAAGCTCAGCTAGCACACAAAACTATTAGTGATTCTTGTAATGGGAATTACTGGTATGCCTCAAACATTCCTTAATTTTAAATGAGAACAAGAAGTTTCTCATGTTCTTTTGCTTAACCCACATGAAAGATATTTGTCATTCTTGACGTTTATTTATTCCCCCTACATAGTTTTAAAATATTAAAACAGATATCAAGATTTGCTTTTAAATAGTAATTTTACACCAAGTGTTTTATGTTGACGGCTACTTAACATAACAAGCAAAGAAAAGAACTTGACAGAAAACCAAGCAAAATGAAGTGTAAGCTCTGTCACTCCAGAAAACAAATTCTAAAACTTAGTGGGAACTTAAAACACTTAAAGTTAAGAATTTGCATTAGAGAGCAAAACTAATTATTAGAAAAACAGACAAGCTACTTTTACAGGGACCTCTTAGCAAAAGACTGCAGAATATGACAATGCAGTACAAACTTCAATAGGATAATTTCCACCCAAGGCAGATCCCAAAGGCAAAGGTTCTGGAGCATCATCCCCTAGCCCGGCAAGCAGGTAATGATGAGGGCACCCTCCACCCTGCAGAGCACACTGCAAGATGGGGAGAGCCTGCAGAAAGCATTGACCCACGCAGGTCTGATTTCAAAATGATAGCTTAAGAAATGACAGTAATACTGGCTTACATATTCAGGCACAATTATGAAACTTTCATGTTTCAGAATCACTCGGTATACTGCTGTTAATTCTGCTCTTGAAGTTCAGAAGGTAATTAAATCAAGATGTTTCACAGATGGTATCTTAAGCTTCACCTGGGAAATACCAGCTCC